TGTCTAATGGATGTCAGATATCTCCTGTTAATAAACCTCTCCAAGTTCTCCACTGCCTTAAGTAGGTATTGAACTCACACTGTCACTGGATCTAACCAACACCTTTATCCACTGTGCCATGTGTCCTTAATGGCACAGATCCAAGACTTGTTTTGGGGCATGGTTCTCATGGTTCAGGTACACTCACTGAAGTCACAGACCACAGAATCCATATTGTTCAACTGCTGTCTACACAGGTCACAAAAATCACTGCACTGAGAATCTCAAATATATTCTTAGATCTAAAGCAATGTTTATATTTACTGGCAAAATAGCTTTGATGTCTCTTTTACCGGGAATGGTAAAATAGCCTTGGTGTCTACTTTACCAGGACTAATGAAATAGCCTATTCAAAAAAAAAAAATAAATATATACACACACACACACACACACACACACACACACACACACACACACACTCTCTCTCTCTCTCTCTCCCTCTCTCCTCTCTCCCTCTCATCTAAATCCCACATAGACAAACTAGATTATTATACACTTGCATACATGAAGCAATATTTACGGTTTTTCAGTTAGGCTTGGAATCCATTCATTTCTTGGAACTTCAAATGGACGCATAGTCTTTCCATGAATTCAGAATGCCATAAATTATACTATTTTAAACATTAATAAAAATATAAGAAAAGGATAGGCTGATTGCTGAATTACTGTTTAACAAGTCAAATGCATAGGAAACCTGATTAACCAATGGAAATCAAACAACGCAAAAATACCAGAATTTCTATTTTTTCTTTTTCTCCAGTTGTCATTATCTAAAACTTTAAAAAAAAGTGAAACGGGTTAGATTGATAAACGTTTCCTATTTGTTATTATAATTGTCAGACACGTAATGAGGAAAGAAGGCTTGGGAAATCGGATACTCACAGGGCAGAAAGAGGGACAAGGGAAAGCAACATGTGACATACTTAACAGGCTCAGTCAAGTGGATGGCAGAACAGGGTCTGGGAGAAATAACAAAAAGACAAAAAAAAATATACTTAAAATACATTTTTTTAAAAATATGCCTACAATACATTTTTTTTTTAAAATCTGCCTACAATGCATTTAAATAAAAAGATATAACCAACAATGCATTAAAAAAACAAAAACTATACTTTTTTCATGACAAAATTACAATCAATACATTTTATCTCAGATGGAATACATATATTCATGCCATCAAGAAAAAATGCTGAATGAATGACTGGTTCATTGTAACACTCCAGAAAATACCTAACTCTCCTGTCCTGGGCATGATGATAAACTACATCCAGCAGCAAGGCCTTTGATTGGGAGATTGGAGTTTTAAGGTGTATGGAACCAACTCTTAATTGCTGTTGTTCCCAGGTCCACTCTGACCCGAGGTGGCAGCACCTGTTAGGGTTCCAACTATGGGCAAATAGTGAACCCCTAAATAAAATTTAAAAAAAAACTAGGAAAATATAAACATACATTTTTATAAAAAACAGAAAAAGGAAAGAAAAAAAAAAACAATGCATTTTTGTAGTGAAATTACCAGCAATATATTTTTATTAAAAAAAAAAATGAAAAACAGTACATTTTTCTAGTAAAATGACAATTGGTACATTTTATAGTAAAATTGAAGACCTGTTTTTTTTTTTTTTTTTTGGTTTTTTTTTTTTCACTCCTGATTTGATTTTATAAGATTATTTTGTTAAAATAAAAGTCAAGCCAAGTAATTATAATTTAATCATGAAATAATATAATTCTCTTGAATTGATTATAAAGTCAGAATTTTCATATTTAGATTTCAGCATTTAATAACCGATATGGGTTGATCTTGAGCAGCTTTTTCCACAAACCACTACCCTGTGGAACCAAGTCCCAACTGGATACCCACCCCTCTATCACTACAATCTTCACCTGTCCATGCTTGGGTTAACTGTTATCTCCCACTCCTATACACAAAAATGACCTAACATAACCCTCTACCTTGAGTGGCTTCTATAAAGGGTGAACCTTACTGCAAAAAAAAAAATGCTGCTTAACAAAAACAACCAAATCAAACCACCTGTTGTTTTCTAACATCAGTTGGTTAACGATTTTCATGTGATGCACAAAATGTACAATTCATATGTTATTTACACTATGCTTTGTGCATCACGTGATAGAAAGGTTATAATCATTTCAATAAAGCGGAAAAATAGATGTCTTTCATTTGAGACCTGACATTATCAGTCAAGCGTCCTGAGGTCAATTATGATGCACAAAATATTAGATTAGTCCTTTGCTTAGATGTCTTGCTCAATAGTAGACATCTTTTTATTTTTATTTATTTTTTTTAAGTGTCCTTAGTTTTACCACTCATTCAAAATCAAGGCTTGTGTGCACCACATATGATTCACAGATGTGAAAATCACGTGTCATGTGTATCACATAATGCAGAAGACAGGCAAAGGGTTTAATATTGTGTTCGTATCAATTCAATAACTTTATATCTTGT